CTATCTCAACTATCGCGAATATATCTAATTTCTCAACTATATCTAATATCTTAAATAAATCAAAGAAATCAAAGAAAAGAAATATATTACAAATATCTCAGTTTTCTCAGATTTGTCATTTTTGGGATCTTCATTGTATAGACTTATGTGACCATGCAATTTCCCTTTCACAGTGGCTGTTTTTGTTGTACTGTCTTTGGGTATTTCGGTTACTTCATTTTTCTGTTGTTGTTTCTTTGCTAATTTTGGTACTGTGTATGGGGTTGTTTCTTTGCTTTTTCGGCTGCCCTTGCCTTTAGTGAGGTCGCTGATGTTGTAGTTGGACCTGGAAGAGGTGCTTGAACCTCTCAGTGTCCTTTGTGAACTCATTCTTCTCTTTTCTTGCTTAATTTCCAAATATAGTAATTATATGCGTATGGGAAAGAGTGTGTTTTGTCATATTTTTGTTATTTTATTTCTGATTGTTTGAATAATACTACAACATGTTTTTTCTTTGTTTTTTCCTGTAATTTTTCTGATAATTTTAGTTATCTTTTTAGTCAATATACCTCTTCTGATAAGTATTATATTGAAGCAGTTTTCCGGAAGTGTTTTTTCTATTAATCTTTTAAGATTTGTTGTATTTGCATTTTCTTCTCTTCTTTTGGCAATTTCTTGTATGGTATTCTTAATGAATCTGTTATATTGTTGGCCTCAACTGTGAGTCAGTCGCTAATCTGGGCCAAGACTCATATGATGTTGGATAAGTGGAACTATATCGCTGGCAATACCAAAGGTATGTATATTGATAATTATCCTTATCTTCCTTTTCTCTAAGTGGGTTCCTCTTTTAATCCTTCGCTGCCAAACTGCAGGGCCTTGGATTCTTTCTAAGATGACTAGAGAAAAATAAGGTAAGTTTATTAATTATTATTGCATTAGTACACACAATTGGATTTACAGCAAATAGTATTTTATTAATTCGTTATTTTATCGTGTCTATCACAGCTATACATTATAATTGGATATCATTACTATTTATACATAATTGCGATGCATCTCTCAATCTATCGTCGCATTATATAGAATTACTAAACTTCGACAAATTCTGTGCCCATCAGTCATGTATGATTAATGCATGATTGATCCCCCATGTGGTATTGCACCAGGCCCCACATGTTGCATTATACCCTCTACTATAATTTCTATACTAACAATATATACTTGCTCTTTCAACATGTACTGTAATAATGTAATCTATTATTTCTAATTCTTTGCACTTAATGCATTTGTTAGATTCATAGACTTCTGGTTTTCTTTTGTGTAATTCTATCATCGTGGGTAGTTCATAATTAAGGAGATGGAAAGCATTCTGTCTTTCTATGTGATCCTAGAAATCTGTTTTTCCTTTTGTTATACTTCCTCTTATATTTGCTTTCCATGTACTTGACCAATTGATTTCTCTTGCCTCCTGTCTGTCTAATCAGCTTCTGTGTCTATTTTGTGTTGCCCATATACTTGCCCATTTTGTGTATCTGTTGACTTTGAGAAATGTTTTTACATTTGCATTGATTGTACTGTCACCTTACTTCAAATATGCTTTGATATTGGTTAATGCTTTTTCATTTATGTTTATATTCTCATTCTTGCTTTCTTTTCTCCCTTCATTGACTAATTGATCTGCTAACTTATTAAGTTCAATTTCTATATGTGCCTTTATCTTTTTGAATTGAGTAACACCTTTCCTTTCTTTTCTCTTTTGTTGTATATATATTATATTTAGTTGTGCTTCACAATTGGTTATGTTGTTTCCTGTTAGATCTTTTTGAATATTGTTTAATATTATTTGACTATTTGTTTTAATTGTAATGTTTGAGTCGTTGCTTGTCATTTCTAGTGCTGTTGCTATAGCTTTGCTTTCCGCCATAATAGATAATGGCCAGGTAGTTACTTTATCACTGAATATTGTTTTTTTTCTAGTATCATTGTTTTTATAAACAATTCCTATGACCATGTCTATACAGTTTTTGTTTTGCTCGAGTGATCCATCTGTATATATTGATATGTTCTTTTATGTTTTAATTCTTTTCTTAACATCTTCTATTTGTGCTTGTTTATTTATACTGATCATTGTCACTCCTGCCAATATATGTTTTTCTTTTTGTGCTTGTTGTATATCTTTTTGCTATAATTTTGTTTCGATTTGTTGTGTCTTGTTGCTCTCCTTTTGTTTTGTTTTTTGTTGCTCAGTGTTTATTGAATTTGAAGATATCAGCAAACATTTGTGTTGTTCTGTGATAAAGCTGTAGATCTTGCTTGATCTTGTTGTGGTGGCTACGGGTAGCTCTTTTGCTTCTTTTTTATTGATAATAAGCTCACATGATGCCTGTATTGTTCCTGTGTTATATTGGCATCCTTGGCATTTTGTAATAATTAAGTCTCCAGCTATTTGTATATAGTATTTGATATGGATTTTTTAATCTGTTTTCTTGTATATTTTATCAATCTTGCTATATATTATATTGTCTCTAATTTTTGTGGTTATAAAGTTGTCTTGTGATGTAACTGTTCTTTTTGTTTTGATTAGCTGATTGTCTGGCCAGTCTTGCTTCATCATTCATGTATTGTCTATAATGCTTGGTGTAGTGAGCATCATTGTAATTGTTGAAACCATTCTAAAATTCTACCTTTTGTTGCCTTTCTTTTGCCCTTATAGCTTGCTTGAATCCAGCTTAGCACCTTTTGTTGGCTTGAGTTGGTAAGTTGTTTCACATATATTATTTTATGTTTTTTCATATCTTTTTTGTTTTGTTCGTACCATTTATAGTCTACAATTTCCTCAATCGGATAGAGAGATTGTTTGGATGGCACCACAATGATGTTGTTAGCTTGTGTTGACTCGAGCATAAAGTTGTTATCTTTCATTAGTTCCAAGATTTGGCCATGCAAGCTGGATTGATTGTGTCTTTTTGTGCTGACTCCAGCTTCCAAGATACTATTGGTCATTTATATGTGGTTCTGCAGATTTTATAATCTTCTACGAGTAGTTTTCCCTATGAGTGTATCAGAGTTGCAATCTCTAATCAATTTTTTAATATGTTGCTCTAGTTGTCAGTTATAGATGTGTGATATATTATATATAGTGTGTATATGTATTTCACTATTGATTGCTGTCAATGCCATTCCAATTTTGTGTTTCATAAGACTGATTATTTTGCTGTTGTATTTGTTGCATTCCTCTTGTAATAATGTCATATCTTGAAGCAATTAATCCACTGCTGGTGCCAGCACATGATTTAGGATATATGCAAGCTGTTTGTCTATAATGTGTATTCTTCTGAATATATTTACAATGTGGTGTATCTTGTCTTTGATTAGTGTTTCTTTGCTCCTAATGTTGTTATCCATGTTCCCAGTATTCTAACTGGTGACTTGTGGTGTTTTGCTTGTATTATATCATTATCCCATCTAATCTTGTTAAGTATATGGTTCTTGTTTGTTGTTAGAAGGAATGATTTTTGTGGATTTATTCTCAAGTTGTTTAGATTCGTGAATGATGTCATGATCTTTCCTATCTTTTCCAACTTTTTCTTACTGCTGGTAATCCATGTACTGTCATCCATATATGTAATTGAAGATATATTAAGTTTGGTTTTTCAACTTGTTCTTGGATTTGTTGTTGGATAATCCATAGTAATTGTATATTCTGGATTCTCTTGTTCGATTCTATATATAAGGGGATTATAATATATGTGCTAAAGAAGAGAAGAAATTGTATCGTCTTGATCTATCCCTGTGCTTGGGCTGTAGCTCTCAAAAAGCCCATGGCATGTGATTATCTGATTATTTCTATCAGAGTTGAGTTTTAACAAGATTGTTATGATATTTTGTGAAACTTTGATTCTTAGCAAGGCATCCTCTAGTCAGTTCTTATCTATAGAATCATATGCTTTGCTAATATCCTGTGTTAGGATCCAGCATTCTTTTTGATTCTCTTTGGCATCTTCTAGGATGTTGTTGATAATCATTATTGGTTCATGTGTTCCTCCTCTAGGGAGTCCTGCCCAGTTGAGTAGAGATAGTATCTTATGCTTTATAAGGATTTTGACCAGTCTGTTGTTCAGTGTTTTTGTAAAAATCTTCTTAATTGTTTCTAACAGTATAATGAGTTGGATTAGGTTGAGGTCATGGTGCCAGTCTTTCTTTTTAATATGGAATATATCAGAATATTTTATCAGAATCATGGGATTTCTTGTGTTTCGAATACTTTATTGAATATGTTTATAATTCTTGTGTATGCTGTTTTTCCCATTTTTTTGATAATGTCATAGCTAAGTTGAGATTTGCCAGGTGCAGATCCATCATTCATTTTCTTCGATTTCTTGTATTGTGTATTGTTTAGTGAGCTCTAAATACCATATTGGATCTATTTTTGTTTTCGGTACATATTCTGTCTGCAATTTTGACTCTTCGATTTTCTGTTTTTGTGATGTTGGAGCTGCGATCTGTTTGTAGTGGTCTACTATTATCTTTTTGATCGTGGTTGGATCTGTGATAGCATCCTTCTCTGGATCTTTGAGAAGCAGTTTATCCATCTTGATGTGTGTTAATTTTCTATTAAGGAATAAATCTACCATCTTCTTCTTTGCGAATTGGTAGTTATATTGTCTTATCTCTGTGTATTTTCAGATTTGGATTTGTTTTTTGTGTTGAAGGTAGATTTTGAGTGCTTTTACAACTCCTGTTTTTAGGTTGCATATTTCTTGGAACTACTGGACTAGCTAATATCCTGAGATTTGTTTGTGAGTTTGATTAACAGGAGTTCTACTGTTTGTTCATTTGTTTTCTGCCACTTATTGATCTGTGACAATGTTTGTTTGGCATCTATATTCCCTGCCAGATATTTTTTTGTGATGTTTATGGCTCTGTTGAGTGCTGTGATTGTGTGTGCTGTTTTTCTATCATTGTTTATTTTTATCTTTTGTTTGTTTTATTTGATTTTTATTTTTTTAACATTGTTTCTCTTGGCCTGGTTTATTGCTTTCCATGTGAGATTTCACAACTTGTTTGCAGAAACTCAGTTAGGATTGATTTTTTCCTCTTGCACTGCTATGATGTTTGTAATTTGTTTTGAGAATTGTTCCCATTGTTTTGTGGTTGTGTGCTTTGCAAAGTATCTTCATGCTGGTTTTTTTTTGCTGTTTGGATGAACTTTTTGAGTTATATTTCCAATCTCAATTTTGCAATCTGCTATTTCATGGTTACTGTGGATTATCACTTCTGACTCTATTATATATGTGTGGCATAGGATCCAGTCTTCATCTGGTAGCATTCAGATTTGATCGATTCTGGTTTTTGTGTTTCTGCTGTTTCACCATGTGTACTCCTTCCGGTATGGCTATACTTCTCAAAATATGTCAATATATCCATTGTATTTGAGAAATTTGAGAATATGTGATGTTGGGTTGTTTGACTTGTTCTGGTTTTTGGCCAGTATTGTTTTGTCTAGTCTGGGGTTTGGGATGGAGTTGAAGTCCCCTAAAATGATAACTTTGTGATTGTTTTTCCTTGCGATCTGGACTCTCTTTTCTATCCAATACATTGTCTGGTCTTTTTCTTTATCTAGGGCTACTGGTACGTATAATGCAATAATTGTGACTACAGTCTTTTGTTTAAAGTGCAAATCAATACTGATATCTCTTCTTGCATATTCAATGGTTTTACCCACATGTGTTGCAATATTCTGCTAAATCATTATTGCGATTCCTGCACCTTTGTTATAATTGAGAAATCTCCAGAATGTTGTGTCCTGTTTTATTACTTGTGTTTCTGTTATCACTGCATATCTATTTGTTGTTCTTTACAGAAAGCATACCATTGGAGTCTTTTGGATTCCTTATTGATTCCTCTAATATTGTATGTTATGATATGCCAGGTGTTGGAGGTTTTGTTACATATGTCTGCTTTGTTTGTATATATTATGTGTTGTATATATGTGTATGTGTTTGGTATGGACAGTATACTAGTTGTTTCCTCTGTTTTTGGATGATTTTGTTTTTTTTTCATCTGAGAAAGTGTTTTCGTCTGAAGATATGTCTTCATCTGGATAGTTGTCTATTGAGTTGTAAATATTGGAAAGATTGTCAGCTATGTTTTGCACCTCAACACTTGTACTTGGGTTGTTCTTCATTATTGATAGTTGGTCATGTTGTCTGCATTACCAGGGATGAGGTTATGGATGGTACTCATGAGGTTACCCATTGTTTGGTTAGTGTTTTAGATTGTTGCATGGATTTGTCTTTGTTGTGCTTGTAGATCTTGGATTTCGTTGTCACTGGAATGTTTTCCTTCTTGATTATTTTCAGTTTGGTTATCATCTGTATTAGATTCTGAGATAGATTCAGTTTCCTTCATGGTGCCCAGGCCATTTTCATCATAATACTCAAGGTTTGTGATTCTTTTGTCTATCTCAATAATTTGTTGTTTGATTTCTGCCAAATTGTGTTGCATTTGTCGAAGGATACTTAAAACTTCTTAAAGATTATTTGAATTGTTTGTTGATTGTTCTTGTATTTGTTATGATTTTGCTGTAGCTGCATAGGATCCAGATCTGTTTGATCTGCTTTTGGTTCAGTTTATCTCCATGGTTTTCCTGATGTTTGCTGTTTTTGCTGGTTTGAATTTCTGATATAATCTTCTGAACTTAGATGCCTGTTCTTGATTGTATTGTTGCCATTGTGTTCTTCTTTCTTTGATTGGGCAGTTAATTGCAAAGTGTGTGTGTGCATCACAGATTGCGCAGGTTATTTTTTGATCTGTGCCCATATAACTTGAGTTTCTCCAAGGGTGAAGTTGTGTTTCAGTGCCTTCTGTAGATCTTTATAGCTTTCAAAGCTAACAATTGCTACTTTTTTTCTGCAGTAGCTCCCAGTTCTAGGGATATAACATATCTTTGCTTTAATTTGTTGGCAGATTATGCGCAGGTCAAATACTATTGTGTTTAGTGGAAGGTTGACCAATTTTCTGCAATGTTTTTTTTATTCTTCATTTCTTGTATACCTAATTATACATCAAAAATTCTCACTGCATCTGCTTTTAGTAAAACACTCCATGTGTTTGCAAGTTTATCCTTGCTGCTCTTTTTCTAGAATGTTATAATGGCAGATTGCCACATGTGTTGAGTACTCATGCTTATACTGGTGATCTCTCTATATTTGGTAAAGGCTTGTTGTACTTCTATGGGTTTTGTATCCAAGAAAATATCCTATACTCTGATACTATTTTCCTGTTTTGTGTCAACAGCTGTGATTGGCATGTGTTTCATATATTTGTTGTTCAATTCTGGAATATTGATTGCACATGCATTGTCTGCAGCTTGTTTATTACCAAAAATGGCAATAAATTGTTTTTCTCCTTGTTTTCCTTCCTTGCGAATTGCGAAAAGACCTTTGGGACTTCCCATGGCTTTTGTAACATTTTGAATCTTTTGCCAGATATTATCTTCTGGCACCTCTGATGCTGCAATTCTGACCTTGCTTCTCTGTCTACCATATCTTGTTGCTCTGTCAAAGGGTGAACGTGGTTTTGGTTTTATGTTTGTTCTTTTCACTTTTCCTTTTCCTTTAACTGTTTGCCAGGTGCTTTGTTCTTCTTGAGTATCTTGGTCAAAGGCAAATATTTCTTCATCACTGTTATCAATTTTCGCTGCACCAAGATTGTATTATTCAGGTACAATATCCTTAGGTATTTGTATTGCTTTGATTTGTTTTTCTTTATTGTATACTTTTCCTTTAGAAATGTTTTGAGTAGAAGTGGAGATTTCGCCCAGCTCTTCTTTTATCATTTGGCTCCATCTGTTTTCAGTACCTTTTTGTGTGGGCTTTTACTGTGCCTTGGTTGTTTGCTGTTACAGTTGCTGTGCCTTTGGCTTCAGCATCAGTGTTAAGGAATAGTTTGGTACTTCTGTTGCTGGTTTTTCTTGTTTTTTGGTGGGTTTCTGTACTGGATAGGGTGTTATTTTTCTGCTTCTGGTGTTGTTTCTCTCCTTGGACATGTCTACTATATTGTAGTTGGGCCTAGCAGCTTGGTTGGAGCTTCTCAGGCTCCTGTTTACACTTATTCTTTTTACTTTGCTTTAGTTTTATTTTATGGTAACTGTATATATTTGGAAAAGAGTAGCTGTGGAACTATCAGTTTGTTACAGACATTTTGTTTAATAAAACAGTATTGTATTCTATATTTTATTCAAGAAATTAGGACTCTGTTTATAATATATTTCACTTGTTTGTCTATAATCTTTTTTCTTTTCAAATTTAATATTATACTGTAGCTTCAATTTCTTGTTTAATTTAATATATTATATTTTTGGTATGTTTTTATTTCCTATTAATATATCCAAAAATTTAATAAAGATGTTTTAATCACTTTTGATTACTTCTTGCTAATCAATTCCAATGTACACTAAGTTTAGTTCTTTATTGTAATTGTTAATTATAATCAATATTGGTTTGCTGCAATTAATTTGTGAATTATTAGTTGCATAAAACTACTTGGCTCTTTTCAAAATACTTTCTATATCTTTTGCAGATCTAGCAATCAATATGATATCATCCATATATGCTATTGCTACTTGATTAATTGTAAAGTGTTATAATTCTTTTTCTTTGTTTAGCTTGATTTTCTAATTATAATTTATAAAATAATCTAGTTAACTAATATTTTGAATTTCACAAAGTAATGAATTATAGAAGATAAATTATAGTAAAGAAGTAATTGATTTGCCTTATTTATATTATTTCCTGATAATATATTTTTTTAATTATAAACAAGCATTAAATATGAGACTTTTATTAAACAAGAGTTTATAGTTATTATATTAATAATCTTTATATAATTTGTAAATTAATTATAACCTATGCAACTATCTATTAATATTAACTGGCACCAAGTAGGTGAATTTATACCAATAGTGCTAAATGGTTAATATCTGTTCAGAACAATTATACTATTGTAGAAGTAAATTGTATTTGTTAATTAAATTATTATTACTTTCTAAAACATTGAAAACTTTATGAAAAGTTGAGATATGGAATATAGTATCTGATTTTATTTTGTTATTTTTATTTTTTTCTATTTTATATCAGATGATAATGATATAATAGCAGTGATGCACTGTTTCTTTTTGATTTTATATAATATTTTAAGAGCTTTGTTAGACAAAAATTCTTTATTTTTTGAATTTTGTCAAGGAGTACTTATTAGATTTTCAAAAGTCAAGTTTGATTATATTGTTGGAAGTAATAATAAAAAAAATTAGTTGTAATATACTTATGAAATCTTTTTTCTCTGAAGTATTTTTGTTAAATTAATAGAATGATATAATAATTTAAACTAATAATATAATTTAATAATTTAAACTAATTTAATAATGCAGTAATTTAAATTAAGATAATAATATAATAATTTAAACTAATTTAATAATATAGTGATTTAAATTAATATAATAATGTGGATAATTATTTTTGAAGGTGGATTGGAAATTTTCTGGTACTACAATCATGATATTATGTATATATTGTTTAAAAGTAGGGTCAGAAAAAATCATATCTAATATTTTTATTATCTTCAAAAATAATTACCCATGTAATAATTTAAACTAATATAATAATGTAATAATTTAATTAATATAATGATATAATAATTTAAACTAATAGGATAATATAATAATTTAAACTAATATAATAATTTTATAATTTAAACTAATTTAATAATGTAATAATATAAATTAATATTATTTAAAAAGTGTCCACAATATTTTGATAGGGGACTGTATTAATTTAATAATATGATTAATGACATAATAATTTTATTATGATAATAAAAAATTTAATAACATAATTTTTATTTAATTTATATATTTACAATAAAATTTATTTAGTATTGAATGACATAATTTTAAAAAAAAATCAAATTAAGCTTAAAATTAGACTCTATATTTAATTTATAATGATTAAGCTGTTGATTTAATTAAAATATAATGATGTAATTTATTTAATAATATAATTAAAAATAAAAAACTAAAACCCGAAAACCGAAAAAAAAAACAACTAGAAAAAAAACAATACTGAAACACGAAAAAAAAATACCAAAATCGGAAAAAAAAAACCGAAACCCAGAAAAAAATAATATTAAAACCGAAACATGAAAAAAAGGCTTAAATTTAAACTTTATATTTTATTTCCCGCATATTACCATTCCATCTCAGTATATAGGACTTCGTCTTCTCAGATTTTATAGTTACACAGAATCGAGCTGCGACCCACGATCGACCTTGATGGGTCAACGACACACGATTTCTGTTCAGTGTAACATGCAATATATTGCATAAGGCGTAACATTACATTTGCATCGCTATCGCTTTTATTATATTTATCAACTGACGTAATAATGGATTTTACCGAAAGAATGATTAAAGCATCATTAGGTGATGTATTAAATAGTTGAGATTTCTGTCAAGGTGTTTTAATGATCAGGGTTATAATCTTTACTTTAATTACGATTACAGACGGTAAGAATATTTTCATTAATATTTGCCGAGTAAATTCATATTAAAGATGTTTTAATTGATATGAGTTATATTCTTTACATTAACTACAATTACAGCCGGTAAACATATTTCATTAATGGTTGTTGAGTAAGTTCCTATAATAGATAGTTTAATTGATCTGAGCTATATTCTTTACTTTAACTACGATTACAGACGGTAATCATATTTTATTAATATTGAGTAAATTCATATAAAGGTGGTTTAATTAATCTGAGTTATATTCTTTACTTTAACTATAATTACAGACGGTAAGCATATTTTCATTAATATTTTTTGAGTAAATTCATATCATAGGTGGTTTAATTGATCTGAGTTATATTCTTTACTTTAACTACGATTACAGACGGTAAGCATATTTTCATTAATATTTGTTGAGTAAATTAATATCATAGGTGATTTAATTGATTTGAGTTATATTCTTTACTTTAACCACGATTACAGACAGTAAGCATATTTTCATTAATATTTGTTGAGTAAATTAATATAATAGGGGGTTTAATTAATCTGAGTTATATTCTTTACTTTTAGGGCGTAAGCATATTTTTAATTAATATTTGTTGAGTAAATTCATATCGAAGGTGTTTTAATTTATCTGAGTTATATTCTTTACTTTAGCTGGTAAGTATATTTTCATTAATATTTTTTGAGTAAATTCATATCAAAGGTGGTTTAATTGATCTGAGTTATATTCTTTACTTTAACTACAATTACAGACGGTAAGCATATTTTCATTAATATTTGTTGAATAAATTCTTATCAAAGGTGATTTAATTGATCTGAGTTATATTATTTAACTACGATTACAGGCGGTAAGCATATTTTCATTAATATTTGTTGCGTAAACTAATATAAAAGGTGTTTTAATTGATCTGAGTTATATTTTTAACTTTAACTACGATTACAGACTGTAAGAATAATTTCATTAATATTTGTTGAATAAATTCATATAAAAGGTGTTTTAATTGATGAGTTATAATATTTACTTTAACTATGATAACAGATAGTAAGCATGTTTTCATTAATATTTGCTGAGTAAATTCATATCAAAGGTGTTTTATTAATCTGAGTTATATTCTTTACTTTTAGTCGGTAAGCATATTTTCATTAATATTTGTTGAGTAAATTCATATCAAAGGTGATTTAATTGATCTTGTTATATTATTTAACTACGGTTACAGAAGGCAAGCATATTTTCATTAATACTTGTCGAGTAATTTCATATCAAAGTGTTTAATTGATCTGAGTTATATTCTTTACTTTAACTACGATCACATAAATGTAAGCATATTTATTAATATTTGTTGAATAAATTCATATCAAAGGTGGTAAATTGATCTGAGATATATTCTTTACTGTAACTACGATCACAGACTGCAAGCATATTTTCATCAATATTTGTTGAGTAAATTCATATCAAAGGTGTTTAAATGATTGAGTTATATTATTAACTACGATTACAGACGGTAAGCATATTTTCATTAATATTTGTTGAGTAAACTAATATAAAAGGTGTTTTAAATAATCTGTTTATATTTTTTACTTTAACTACTAATACAGACTGTAAGCATATTTTTCATTATTATTTTTTGAGTAAATTCATATTAAAGGTGTTTTAATTAATCTGATTATATTCTTTACTTTAACTACGATTACAGACTGTAGGCACAGTAAAAGCCCACACAAAAAGGTACTGAAAACAGATGGAGCCAAATGATAAAAGAAGAGCTGGGCGAAATC